TCCCTCCCTTGATCCACTCCTGTTGCCTTCCAGGCACTGTATGACGCCCCCCTCATGGTTTAGTGTTCGGCTTTGAATGTAAAACGGCCCCCAGAATGAATCCTCCCTCTGCACTTCATTTCAAGTTGGTCCAATAATAAATTAACATTGGTGACCATAGCTGAAGATATTTGTGATTTATTTTCTTGCTACTTCCCTCTTGACCAATGACTTATTCTGATTCCACTCATCTAGGGAGGTGCCTTTGTAGGGAACAATTGAGTTATCTTTTAAGGAAGTGGAGGATAGGCTCAACTGATCAGGAGCCCCTCACTGGCATGATGCTGATTATGATTACCTATAGTCATAGGAAAGCACTAAACCCATAAGTCTTAACACCTGGGAGGAATGTAAGGTATTCAGACTTCAAGGGCCCTCAAAAGAGGTTCTTTGAGGGGCTCTTGATCTAGGATTTTTACTCTTCTTCCCTGACTTGAGCCTGAACACCTTCCATTCCCCACATAATAATAATAATCAGACTTAAGGAATTGGAGAACAGGTCCAAAATTATGCCATAATTTATGAATATCCAATGTAAAGAATTCAAGCAGCCTTTATTTTTAATTACCTATAATTCCAAATTATATAAACATAACTAATGCTTTTAAGAATTAAAATCTTGTAGGTTTTTCACTTAAGAGCCCATTTCTCTCTCAAGCTGCTCAAGTAGCAGCTCAATCCTACCACTCATAACTATTTGGCCTTTCCTAGTTTTCTGACTCAACTTTTTAAAGCGATGTAATCTCTTTTCTTGGTATTTTTTCTTAGCCTCCTCAATTTCCTTTCTTCTTTTGGCTGATTCCTCCTTCATCTGTTCTTTTTCTGCAATTTTCTTGTGGTACTCTGCTCGAGCTTGCTGCCAGCTATTCGTCTTCTTCCTGAAATGAAACCACTTTATATAATAGATATTACAATACAAGGAATGAATGTTCTATTATCTAAAGTACGATAAATAATGTACATATATTCAATACAGTATTGTATTGATATATTTACAAAAATGTCTAGTACATTTTTATAAAATGTCCAGTAATTTTGCATATTAAGTTATTAATGAATTAGGAAACATTTCCTCATGTATCACACACTACAAATGTGATATGCTACTTTACTGTTTGGGATGTTCACATAATGGGAGAAGAAAAGTGAACATTTTGAGTAACCAATACCCGCACATAAAAGAGAGAAGCTTACGACGATGTTTCAGTCCAACTTGGACCATTTACAAAGTCGCACTGTTCTTCATTATAATCACTTGGAATGGCTCTACAGTATATCATTATATGTAGTACCCCACATTAAACAAAGCTTCATCTATGAGTAATAAACTTGAAAATTTTCCTGAAAAAATTTTTAAAATAGACACTTAAACTACAGTATATTACTTTTTATTACAGTATAGAAAAAGTGCAAAACCTACAAGGGTCACACAAGAAATACATTACTTTTTGGGGCCTTTCTTATTCCATATAAAAAAATTTTTTATGAAAAAAAAATCTTCACAATATAAAGTCAAGGCACACTAATACTACTATTTGGGAAATGAATCCAAAAAACAAAAAACCTGCTTTTTTTTTTTTGAGAATGGGGGAAAAGAAATTTGAAATGAAGAAAAAAAAAAGGCACAATTTCCTCTTCTCCCTCCTTATTTCTGTCCTATCTTGTTCCCCTTTTTTACTATAACTGGTTGCCTCACTTTTCGTTCGTGTGCTCCTCAATGGTCCAAGTCAGACTGAAACTTCGTCGTAATCCCCTCTCCTTGTGCAGGCGTGCAATTGATAAACAATATAAACTTCATATGCATTACATACAAATGCTGTGAAGTTATCCTCCCCGTGGCTTGAACCTGAATGCCTCCCCTTTCTTAGGTGCTACACAACTTTACGATTACAATAAAATATATACATGCGAGTTAAACAAGTTAAGAAAGCCTAAGGAACGAAGATTTGTCATTAAAAAAAGAGTAGGGGAGTTAGTAGATGAGGAGATGGAGGTATTGGGTAGATGGCGAGAATATTTTGAGGAACTTTTATATGTCGACGAAGAAGGGAAAGCGGTAATTTCATGCACTGGTCAGGGAGGTATCCAATCTTTTAGAAGTGAAGAAGAACAGGATATGAGTATAGGGGAGGTGTGCGAGGCATTACGTAGAATGAAAGGGGTTAAAGCAGCTGGAACTGATGGGATCATGACAGAAATGTTAAAAGCAGGGGGGGGGATATAGTGTTGGAGTGGTTGTATTTTTGTTTAATAAATGTATGAAAGAGGGAAAGGTACTGAGGGACTGGCAGAGAGCATGTATAGTCCCTTTATATAAAGGGAAGGGGACAAAAGAGAGTGTAAAAATTATGAAAGATGAGGTGAATCATAGAATTGATGAGGGGAAAAGGGTGAGTGGTGTACTTAGGAGTCTGTGGAGACAAAGAACTTTGTCCTTGGAGGCAAAGAGGGGAATGTATGAGAGTATAGTTTTACCAACGCTCTTATATGGGTGTGAAGCATGGGTGATGAATGTTGCAGCGAGGAGAAGGCTGGAGGCAGTGGAGATGTCATGTCTGAGGGCAATGGGTGGTGTGAATATAATGCAGAGAATTCGTAGTTTGGAAGTTAGGAGGAGGTGCGGGATTACCAAAACTGTTGTCCAGAGGGCTGAGGAAGGGTTGTTGAGGTGGTTCGGACACGTAGAGAGAATGGAGCGAAACAGAATGACTTCAAGAGTGTATCAGTCTGTAGTGGAAGGAAGGCGGGGTAGGGGTCGGCCTAGGAAAGGTTGGAGGGAAGGGGTAAAGGAGGTTTTGTGTGCGAGGGGTTTGGACTTCCAGCAGGCATGCGTGAGCGTGTTTGATAGGAGTGAATGGAGACAAATGGTTTTTAATACTTGACGTGCTGTTGAAGTGTGAGCAAAGTAACATTTATGAAGGGGTTCAGGGAAACCGGCAGGCCGGACTTGAGTCCTGGAGATGGGAAAGTACAGTGCCTGCACTCTGAAGGAGGGGTGTTAATGTTGCAGTTTAAAAACTCTAGTGTAAAGCACCCTTCTGGCAAGACAGTGATGGAGCGAATGATGGTGAAAGTTTTTCTTTTTCGGGCCACCCTGCCTTGGTGGGAATCGGCCAGTGTGATAATAATAATAAAAAAAAAGTTTACCGAGTATACCAGGAAAAGTGGACGATAGGGTTATAATTGAAAGAATTAGAAGTACGACAGAATGTAGGATTGCGGATGAGCAAGGAGGTTTTAGAGTGGGTAGGGGATGTGTAGATCAAGTGTTTACGTTGAAGCATATATGTGAACAGTATTTAGATAAAGGTAGGGAAGTTTTTATTGCATTTATGGATTTAGAAAAGGCATATGATAGAGTGGATAGGGGAGCAATGTGGCAGATGTTACAAGTATATGGAATAGGTGGTAAGTTACTAAATGCTGTAAAGAATTTTTATGAGGATAGTGAGGCTCAGGTTAGGGTGTGTAGAAGAGAGGGAGACTACTTCCCAGTAAAAGTAGGTCTTAGACAGGGATGTGTAATGCCACCATGGTTGTTTAATATATTTATAGATGGGGTTGTAAAAGAAGTAAATGCTAGGGTGCTCGGGAGAGGGGTGGGATTAAATTATGGGGAATCAAATACAAAATGGGAATTGATACAGTTGCTTTTTGTTGATGATACTATGCTTATGGGAGATTCTAAAGAAAAATTGCAAAGGTTAGTGGACGAGTTTGGGAGTGTGTGTAAAGGTAGAAAGTTGAAAGTGAACATAGAAAAGAGTAAGGTGATGAGGGTATCAAATGATTTAGATAAAGAAAAATTGGATATCAAATTGGGGAGGAGGAGTATGGAAGAAGTGAATGTTTTCAGATATTTGGGAGTTGACGTGTTGGCGGATGGATTTACGAAGCAGTGAGGAGGCGGTTGGAGGCAGTGGAGATGTCCTGTCTAAGGGCAATGTGAGGTGTAAATATTATGCAGAAAATTTGGAATGTGGAAATTAGGAGAAGGTGTGGAATTAATAAAAGTATTAGTCAAAGGGCTGAAGAGGGGTTGTTGAGGTGGTTTGGTCATTTAGAGAGAATGGATCAAAGTAGAATGACATGGAGAGCATATAAATCTGAAGAGGAAGGAAGGCGGGGTAGGGCTCATCCTCGAAAAGGTTGAAAGGAAGGGGTAAGGGAGGTTTTGTGGGCGAGGGGCTTGGACTTCCAGCAGGCATGTGTGAGCGTGTTTGATAGGAGTGAATGGAGACAAATGGTATTTGGGACCTGATGAGCTGATGGAGTGTGAGCAGGGTAATATTTAGTGAAGGGATTCAGGGAAACCAGTTATTTTTATATACCCGGACTTGAGTCCTGGAAATGGGAAGTACAATGCCTGCACTCTAAAGAAGGGGTTCGGGATATTGGCAGTTTGGAGGGATATGTTGTGTATCTTTATACGTATATGCTTCTAAACTGTTGTATTCTGAGCACCTCTGCAAAAACAGTGATTATGTGTAAGGTGAAAGTGTTGAATGATGATGAAAGTATTTTCTTTTTGGGGATTTTCTTTCTTTTTGGGTCACCCTGCCTCGGTGGGAGACAGCTGACTTGTTAAAAAAAAAAAATGAAGACAAAAAAGAACTGGCATTCTTGGATCTTAAATACAATAGCCATTACAACAATGGCAAAATGTGTTTTGACACTGTCACTAGACATAACACATTTTGCAGATATAGTTTACCTAACACTTGAATCCTTCTAGCATATCTAGAGTTCTCTTACAGGTTGGCATTTCTGTGCAAGATTAGACTTCCAGTAACTGGAGTTTTCTACAAATATGCATCAAGGCTGTTGACTAACACCCAGGTATCTATTGTTTGGAGCCCAAAGGCAGTTGTAAAGTGACATGCTCAAATTTCTGACTTTGCCTGAAGATACTGACATTTTAAAGTTCTAGAACAAACATATTGTATTTGCAATAGTTAATTTGTGAGGTAACTCTACTTATATGATATGGAGCATCATACTGCCAGTGATGTTTTGGTTATAAGGCAATCAGAAAGTGTTTCCTGCTGCAAGTCTCATCTGCACAGTATTTCATATTCCTATTAAAAAACTTGTGTTTGGTAATATTTTGGAAAAAGATGATATATCAAATTAGCTTACATCCCATTCCTCTGTATTGCATGACCCCCTACAGGTTTAGCACCTCCCTATCAACAACAACAACAAACTTACCTAAATTGTTGAGAAGCTGACTCATTTATATCACTGTTTTCCTTTGTCAGTGCATTTATACTCTGAGGTTCCAATTTCTGAAACTTTTCTGTAAAAATTTAAAAAATTACCTCAGGCATTTTAAAAAAAATAAAATTTTGGATATCTAAGGACAATACCAAGATGTGATAAATTCCAAGGAAGGGCTGCACAAGCTGAATACATGCACACCTGGTAGCTAAGTACTCAATCTGAACACACATCTGATGCCTAATTACTGCTGAAGTTAAGATTCACTTCTAACATCTACACTGCCCTAACACACTCAAACTAACCTCGCTGACGGTCCTACCACTGTCTCAAACTCTCTATCTGAAGTTTTGAGAGACTAACCAATTGCTCCAACTATGATTTCAATTTTACACTTGCACTAACTCCTACCTTCACACATCCTTAACTAACCTTTGCACATGCCTATCCCTCATACATTCCTGATCACAGTGCTGAATGATGCATACAAGTTTAGCACGTACAATGACTATATTATTATTACTGTTATTATCATCTCTACCATGAGAGAAGTCACATATAATGGCCATCCCTTAAACATGAAGAAATTCTTATGGTAAGTGGAAACATGATGATAAAGGACAAAGACAAAAAATAATGTGTCAAATATAAAACAACAGAGGCAGAAATATTAAAAAAAAATTCTGACTAGGAAACTAATTTTTCTAAACTTTAGAATAATATATCACCTCCTTTAGCCAGTTGTTGAAACTGAAGTTTTTTTCTGTTCTTTTCGTCTTCTCTCCTTTGCTGCCGAAAATATTGTCGCACTACTGCTTTTTTTTGGAGAAATGCTCGGCCATGACCTGTTAAAGGAAATACAAAATAAAATACATGTGAAAGAAGGTTTGGATTCTCAGAAATCCCTCAAGGAAGGTACCATGATGCCTTTGAAAGTCTCTTGATCTAGGGAATTGGAGTTACTCTCCAATTCACTGGATCAAAGCTGACTGCCTCCCATTTTCCTCATCCCCAGGAACTGTATGGCCTCTATGGGTTTAGTGTTTTCTGGCATATATAATAATGATAATAATAATTCAGAATCTCATTTTTTTTATTCATAGGAACTTTCAGTCTCTTCTGAGAGTCCTGCACTATTTGTGGTGCTATATATTGTACTGTACTACAGTATAATTCCCAGTATAATACAACAGTTGATTAACACCAAGGTGCCTATACTGGTATAAGTTAGTTAGTTTATTCAGGTATACACAAACAGTTACATAGATTATCATACATAGCAGCATATGTGTAGAGAACCTAGGATAACCCAAAAAAAAGTTTGACAAAATGACTTATTTCCATTGGGGTCCTCTACTGTTAGGTGAACATGAATAGCAGGTGTACAACATTAAATATGCATCCTTCCTCACTGAGCTATAGATTATAATGGAAATTTGCTCACCTAACCTGCTTGCAGTTCTAATCCTCAACCTCATGGGACATGCACTGTTCAGATGAAATTCTGTACAGTATTCAATAAACTAAATATCCTGTGGTATTTTCCCTACACCCCTGTTGCCCCTACCAACCCAGCAGAAAAAAGTAGATACTGTACATGCAGGTTACCAGACCATTTTCAGATATTTAGGCTTCATACATAATTTAAAACTTTTACAATAGTTTTATATAAGATATCATGTTAACTTAACTAAAGATAACCCACTGTGACTTATTTTTATCAAGAGCCATTGAACAATCCTGTCAAAAATGGATATTGATCATATCCTAAATTTTTTTATGCAATGTTAGAAGCTCCAGTGTGTAAGAACACTCCAGCTGGTACCTGCTGGAAGTATTCAAGTATAGGGTATAAGGTATCCTTACACTGATGAAAAATTAGGTGATTTTAATTTAATATAAAAATTTATAAAAATTTAATAACCCTTAAAAAAATTTAGAAACAAAGGTGGGGGGGATTTTCAAAAAAGGAAATTAAAAGTAACACAAGAAAGAGAAAGGGGGGCGTTTAAAAAAAAAAAACAAAAATTTAAAGGGGGTTTAATGAAAAAATTTAAAAATAAAAGAGGGGGGGGGGGGGCTTGGGGGGGGGGGAAGGGGGGGCGGGGGAAAAGGGGGGGGGGGGGGGGGGGGGGGGGGGGAAAATTGGGGGGGGGGGAAAGGGGGGGGGGGGAGGGGGGGGGGGGGGGGAAAAAGGAAAGGGAAATGCTAAAGCATCGGTAGAGAAAAATCTTATCCATGGAGGAAATTTTTGGGAATTTTCCCCAAGTATAATGGTCCCAAAACACGTTACAGGGTGTGAAATAAAAATTTTTTAAATGTTAAGGGTTAAAATAAGGTTAAGAAATTTTGTTCGGATTTTTTAAACCCCCGGGGGTTAGCCACCCGGATAACCCAAGAAAGGGCAGTGGTCATCGAAAGGGCTGTAACTTATTTCCCTTTGGGGGCCTTTAATCTTTTTCCCCAGGATGGAAACCCCCCCAGTCGACTAAACCCCCGGTTTCCCATTTTTCTGCTAGGTGAAAAAGGGGAAAAAGGTGTAAGGAAAAAATTTTTCGAAAGGTTTCCACCCACCGGGAATCGAAACCGGGCCCTTTTGTGTTTTTGAAACGGGGGGCTTTAGCCAGGGCCCCCGGGGGAGCAAGTAGGAGGGCCCGGGGATGTGGAGGGTTTTCATTTCTGGGAAAGGGTAAATGTGGTGTGAAAATTAAGTAGAGAAATTTGGAGATAAGGTGTGGGGTTCCCTATGGTTTTTTCAAGAAAACCCGGGGAAGGGTTTTTTTGAGAAAGGGTGGACATTTTGGGGAGGATGGTGCAAAAAAGGGTGAACAGCAAGACACAAATTTTTTGGGGGGCAGGGAAAAAAGGGGTTTACTTGGGGGAGAGGTCTTTGAGAAATGAAAATGCTTCCCCGGGGTGGTTGGGAAAACTTTCCCTTCACATGGTGAGGTCCAGGTTTGATTCCTGGTAAGGTTTTTCCTGGGGGTTTCCTGGAGGGGGAGTTCGGGGGTCCCAAAGCCCCCCCGGCCCCGGGGCTGTGACCAGGCCCCCAAAGGTGGGAAAAATTCAATTTCGTTTTCCCTTTCAAACCCATTTTCCCGTTTCCCCAGCAAGTAGGTACCCGGGTGGGTTGTTGATGGTGTGGGTCACACCCGGGGGGACCAAGTTGGGGCCCCAGTGGAAATAAGGCAACAGTCCCTCGAACGCATGACTTTCTTGGGTTACCCTGGGGGGTTAACCTTTGGCTTTTAAAAAATCTGAACAAAATCATATCTTATCTTAGGTGAGAAAGATTTTGAATGCTAGGTGCTTAACCTTTTTAAACTGTCCAAACGATTTTCTACTTCACAGCGTGCGCTCCGCTTGTTTTTTCCCATTAAAAAACCATGTAAAAAAAAAACCTAAAACTACTTTGGGGAGCCTGTCACGTAAAAGTATATCACGTTTGGGAAGTTTAAGGGTTAAAACGTTCAACACATTGATTAGTGGAAAAGATTGGTTCTTTTTTGACTGCGTTGCCAGGAACAAGTAAAAATAAAAAAGGTAAAGGGGAAACAAAGTTATTTGGTCTGAGCCCCTAGAGGGGGGGAGGATTGCTTTCAGAAACCCATCTGAAGTGTGACATTGGACATTTCTGGCAAGGCAATGATTGAGTGAATGATGTGAATGTGCTTCCTCTTTTTGGGTAACCCTAACTTGGGGAAAGATGGCCAGTGTATAAAAAAAAATTTAATAATAAAAATTAACTAAAATCATAATGTTTTTTTTTTTAAAACCCTGATCAAGTGAAGTTTAAAGATGTGACAAAGTATTATTTTTCGGGAAAGTCAAGTTAAAAATTTTCGTCTTGCTTTTCGTTTTAATTTTGGGCTTAGGAATATAATATTTTTTAAATTATATTGAAATTTTTCGGGGAGATTATTTATTTATTTTTTTTATTTATTTATAATTTGAGCACACTTACGGGGTAAAAAAAAACAGATAAGAGCGCATCCCCAAACCCACTTTACTATGCTGCATTAGGGCTGGCTTAAAATTAACTTAAGATTAATAAGCAATGATGAAATCGTGAAAAACATTAATGAAAAACTGATTACTAAAAGAAAAGTGGTATTAAAAGACAGGTCATTGGTTGATGCTTTGTTATAAATTCAGTAGAATGGGTTTTCTGTTAGGTATGATTTAAAAAATAATAAAGTTAGATTGGGTTTTGGTTTAACATTTTTGTGATATAATTGTGAGAAATTTTAAGATATACAATTTTTAAAATTCAGTTTTTCATATTTATTTGGTTTTGGTGATAATTTATCTTTGAGAAGAGACTTGAAATTTTTAAACAGGTAGTGTTTTTTTTTATATTTACAGGTAATGAATTCCAGATTTTAGGGCCCTTTTAAAGGCATTGGTTTTTGCATGCGTGAGATGGACACGAGGAATATCAAAAGTGATTGTGCCTTGTGTTTTGGTCATGTTTCTGTTGAGGGGCAAGGGGTGTTTTAGGGGGGGGTTAATATCAGAGTTGGGGGTTTTTGTATTTTTAGGTGCAGTAATAAGTAGGTGTTTTGTATGGGGGTAGGTTGGTGATTGAATATTGGGGAGTGTGCTGCCTGTAGTGGGAATTTGTTACATTAACTGCAGCCTTTTGTTGGGTAATTTGGGGTCTGAGGGGTTACTTGTTTTTGAGCCCCTGCACAAATTTTTATGGTGAATAGGGGTAAATAAGAGAGTGATAAGGGCCCGGAGGGCTGATGTGGGCATAGTACCGTATTTCGATGTTGCCTACGTCTTGGGAAAAATTTTTTAGAAATTTGTTGTTTTTATGAAATTTGAGTTATTTCAAGGTGGATTCTAAGAATTTTCCCCCTTTTTAGCTTTGTGTAGGGGATCCCTTTATCATTATGTTAAAAGGGACACTGTGCCGTTACCCAAAATGAATGAGTAGGTTTTGTCAAAGTTTAGTGTAAGTTTGTTAGTACCATCCAGGTAGATATTTCTGTAATTGGGATTTTCATTTGGCTAGCGTGACTGGGCTGGGTGGAGAAGACGTATGTTTGTCATCAGCAAATAGTGTGGGTTTTAGTAATTGAAAGCATTTGGTAGGGCATTTATGTATTGGAGAAAGAGAAGAGGGCCAAGGACATTCCCTGTGGGACACCAACTGTAATTGGGTTTTGCAGAAGAGTTTGCCCCATTTGCGTACACATATTGGCTTCTGTTGTGAGGTATGATTGAGGTAGTTGAGGGAGTGCCCCTTATACCTAGTGTGACAATTTTAGTGGATAAGTATGGTCACTGTACAAAAACTTTTCGTAAATCAATGAAGATCCCCCCGGGGATTTTTTTTTTCTATTGCGTGTATTATGTTCTAGCTGTGATAATGCATCATTGTATTTTTATTAGGGCCCGAACCAAAATTGGCAGGGGTTGATATGTTTTGGGAGAAAGGAAAAAGTAGATCGTTTATAATTAATTTTTCGAAGATTTTTGAGAGGGGTGTAAGTTTGGATATTGGCCATGTTATTAACTCTGTTTGGTCTCCTCCTTTGTGGATCGGGGTGACCTTGCTATTTAGTACTGTGGGGAAGGGGGGGATTCAATGGATTTGTTAAAGAGTGTTGCAATGATTGGTGTAGCACTTGTGACATTTTTTGTATATAAAGGGTGGTAAGGTATTTAAATCCCCTGCCTTTTTTTTTAGTGCGTTGAAATAAGGGAGATTCGAGGGTTTTTTGGAGCTGGGAACGTGTGTTCGGTAGTTGCCGTGAGTATCTTTTGGTGGGGTATCTAGCTTGGGTTTTTATTGGCAAGGTTTTGTCCTATTAGAAGAAATCATTGAGTCTTTTTG